GCTTAGTCGGGAGCAAGGAACAAGCGAGAAGCGCGAGAGGGGGATGATGGGAACGAGCGCAGAGCGCGAGCAGGGAATGATGGGAATGAAAAGGAGAGTCTACTTTCGCCCTCGCTTTCCTTGAATAAGTAGCTCAAATATCTCCCAAAAAGTGATCGCGAGCGACTGGGAACAAGGTAATGAGTATCAGGTGTTTCTAGGGGAAAAAGGAGAAGAAAGAGCCAAAAGGAGAGACAGCGAAATCCTCCCTCTCCTAGCCCGTAAGGAAGGCCTGATACTCAGGTTATAAAGGGCTGTGAAAAATTCATATCGTTGTATCGTATCGTTGTCAAGCTCACATCAAAGAAAAAGTCATTCTAGTGTCAAGTGCACACAAACGTTAAAATTACAAGACATGACCTGTCAGTACTTTTGACAGGGAATTCGTTGCAAAGAATGGATAACAGGCCATTTCCGGGTTCCAAAAACCCTCCCTTTCAAAGCGAGGTTAAGTGCAAGCCCTTTCTTGTGATAATGATTTCCATTTACACGAGTATAAAAATCATTTTCATATCAACGGTTTCACTTAGTCTCGCTTTGAAACAGAGGCTTGGGGCAACTCAAAAATGGCCTCTTATTATCCAAACACTGAGATTTATTCTAAGCAAAGCTGTCCAACAAAAAAAGACTAAAAGCACTCTGACTGGCTATCACAACAAATCACAAACTCTCTCGTTTGGTAAGCTCAGTCGTTCGTTTGCAATGGATTCTTCACAACCCGCGAATAAATCGATCGTACCAAAGAAGGCTCTTATTAGGATTTCTTTATGTGAAGTTAGGGACCATGACTCAACCCTTTAAGTCTTACCCAGGGCCCCTCAGTGACGTGGACGCAGATCGGTTGCCGGAGACTAGCACGGGCGCGCATTTCCTACGAGCTTCCCTCGACTCACTGGGCACGAGTCTGGGGATAGCTGATGTGAGCTAATTTTTACACTGGAAATATATCATATCTATATACTTTTTAACATGCCTCCGGCGTACTTCTAATTATGTTACCAAAATGTCAATGTGTGATCGCTAAAGGTTATTCTCTATAATTATAGTTCAATTTATGATAATTTGCTAACTCCTCTGTATAATGGTATAATACTAAACTCCCTTTGGAAAAACGGAAAACTCGGCGAATGATGATGGTTGTTCAAGAGATTTTCCAGGGTTAATGCTGTTTTAGAGAAATTAAAGGGTGCTATTACAACAGTGAACGGTCGCTAAGAGCCATGCAGACCTATAAAATTAGTTTATACATCATCCTAACACCCATACACAAAGAAAGATTTCCTGTAGCATTTTTTTTCGGAGTCTGTCACGTACAAAGCCCTGTGGCATACAACTTTCAGTTAAATTTATTTTTTCGTATGAAAGGAAACAAAATAACATGGAATTAAATAAAATGGTAAAATAACAGTCCAACTTACCGACAATTCATTCGTTAGCCTAACGCGGAAATTTAAAATTTGAACAGAAATTGCCCTCTTGGCAGCCACAATTTCATCTGACAGCGGTATAAAGTAAATTTGGGTAATAGGTGCATTATATGCCGTCAGAATCTGATTACAAGATTTACACAACGCTAATTAAATTTTAACACTTGTGTGGGCGAAGCAAAAGAAAACAATTCGTGATTCATTCAATTTGATGTCAATTTATGAAAAATAGCAAACAACGAATCATATAAGACACAATGATTACACAGTCTTAACTGTCACCAAAGAAAAGATTCTATGACCCGTGAAACTTTAAATGATGTCGTTGATTTTAATATGGTAGCATATAAGAGAAAACCTGTCTCCATTAAGGCAAAAACCCTTTTTCTTATGGTTGCATATACTGATCTTATCAGCCAACCCCCATATTCTCTTTACCCAATACCACTGAAGTGATTATACTACCCGATTACTCCTCTCACGTTGACTTTCCCCTAGAAATCATAGTGGCGGAGGCTATTCTATACGTGGTAGTAGTTTCTTGGAAATTTCAGCTCTAATCGAATTGTTCTTGAACGGAATCAAGTGTTTTTATCGGAGTAAATCTAACCTTTCACTGTAAGACATTAATCGCTTTTTTGAAAATACAAACCTCTATAACTGGTGCGGCAAAATTTTTCACGGAACGTTTCGGTCATAACCTCTGTGTCATAAACTTTAAGAGTATGAATCAAACCCCTTAAGTGTTTTTTGTGCATGTTCTAATCTATCTATATGTCAGGTTAGTCGGCCATGTTTTAATTTTTTTAACCTTAAATTATTAAACACACTGGATAGTACTATTAGAAATTGGCACAACCCACAGACAAGGCGCCCTGCGTTAGCGTGAAATGAATATTGGGTTATCTTGTCCTTCTGTGCACCACATAAACCATATTCATATCAGCAAGATTTTATTAGGTCCGCAATTAATATAATGTTTACCTTTCAGCAAGAAATGCCAACAAATCAATAGTAATTTCGGAAGAGATTCG